ATTTAGTTTGATGAAATCATTGACTAGTCTTGATATTTCTTTTAATAATATTAGTTATCGATCCCATTATTTTAAAGAACTGAGACAATTACCTAAATTGACTACTTTAAATATTAGTGGCAACAAGATTGAGGCTATTGGAGCCATGCAGATTAGTAAAATGAGGCAATTAACTTGCCTTAGTGTTTCTAATAATAATATTGGAAATGAAGGATTCAAATTCATTTGTGAAATGAAGCAATTAACCTATCTCGATGTTGGCAGAAATGATATTAATAGTAAAGGACTCAATCATATCACTAACCTTGATAAGTTAAAAGATCTTCGTATTTATTACAATAGTGTTGGAGATGGAGCTAAATATATAAGCGAAATGAAACAATTGACTAATCTTAATGTAAATACAGCTTGCATTAATGAAAAAGGAGCCAAGTTCATTAGTGAGCTGCCACTGGTCACTAATCTCAATATCAGTTTCAATGAAATAGGCAATCAAGGACTCGAACACATTAGTAGAATGAAACAGTTAACTCATCTCAATATTCAATCCAACAATATTGATGATACTGGAGTTTATTTTCTTCATGGACTGGACCAATTGACCACACTCGATATTAGTAAACATATTATTGGAGAGAAAGGAACCAAACTACTTAGTGAAATGGAACAATTAACTCATCTTGACATTTCTGAATGTTGTATTCAATATGAAGGAGTTAAACACATCAGTGAAATGAAAAACTTGACCTATCCTAATATTTGCCTCAATTGCTTTGGAAAAGGAGGAGCCAAATGCCTTTGTGAAATGAAAAACCTTATTAAATTGTATAAATAATTAAAATTAATAATAATAATAAATTTAAAAACAACAAAAATAAAAATTTTAAAAAAAATGGCAAAATTTGATGAGCAAGAATGATCCGCAAGATTCGGAAAATTGTATACTGTTAGTTTATTGTGTAATTGATTACTTCGGAAGAAACTAGATACTCCTACAATAGTTTGCTCACCTAGTTGAATTAAAACCATTCCCGAAAATGTGCTTTAATTCATCATTCGAAAGTGTTACTTCATTTATACGATTACTGCACATAAATTGGAACTTGCTTCTACTAAATTATTGGAAACTTCTATTCTTTCTCGACCTACATTTGAGAAATTGTGGAAAATAACAGCAAGTTTACAAGATGTGGTAGTATTAATTTAACGGATGAAATTGAAGTTAAGTATTGATTCGATCTGCATTGTAAAGATTTCGTATTGTGAAATTTCCACAAAAACAATCAACCT